CTCAGAAGAGGTGTTTCCTATTAATATAGCTTCCAAGTTCCCCCCAAGCCCCATAACGCCCCCCCCGCCCCAGTTTGGTACTATTACACACAAGACGACATCCCTTAAAGATGTCTGGCCACTGGTTAGGGCTTAAACATCTCTTTATATGTATTTATACAAGTATTTGTACTCCACCACCTCAACAGAACCAGACTTTGCGTTTTCCAAGACCCCTTTTACAAGTTTTCACACAGGAACTGGTGAACAATTTACTTATTTTCCAGAGATCAAAGACCCAGGGATAAAGGAGACAAAACTTCACCAGCACTTCATCCACTCAAGGAAGCCTCCCAAGTTCAAACCCCAGATGCAGGCTGGTAAGCCACACAATACGGACATTTGTTTGGAATGTAGTAAGATTTAAATCTATGCTACACAGTATCTATTGCTTCTGTGAGGTAGGAATAATATCAAAATACACGTTCTGCAAACACTAGACAAGGTGGGAAGCCTGTAGAAAAACAGGTACTTGAGCATAGGTCTCCTCAAATCCAGAAGGGCATCCCTTGCTCGAGTTTCTTTCTCTGATTTTGAGGCTCTGCTGTGTCACTCAATGTTTTACAAGATAACATCTGGCCCTCAGGGCTGAACTGCTGCCCCTTAGCTGCACATTAAATCCCTAACTACACTTGCCTACTCTGCCTCCTTATTACTCCCCTACCTAAAACGAAAAAAGCTGCCAGCTTATATCCAAACAAATATATGACGACATACAGATCAGAACAGTGCTGCACAGAATGGAGGATGCCAGGATCTGCATAAAAAAACGTATTTTATTAATAACACATAAATAAGCACATAACCCTTACACATATTTTTCGGGTAACACCACAAAACCATCCTACAGTAACACCAGAAAAAAAAAAAATCCTGCTCAAGAGTCCAGCCCAAGTGGGCATCACCTCCACAGTTTTGGGCAACACTGAGACCATGCAGGATTTCAGTACAACTTGGTACAGTTATGAGAGAGTGGATTTTCACCAGTCCGGCTCTTGCTGGTTCAGTGCTATGCTGTTGAAGCCACAGATACACTGGTTGAATGCGTACACAACCTGATTAGTCCACGGAAAAAAAACCCAAACCTTTAGACTATGTAATACACTTGCTGCTGAGCCACAGACATGAAGATTTGCCCTTTGCATTTTTTTTTACATCAGGTGCTGATAATCAAGACTTGCTGGCAGCAGAGCACTGAATTAACATTTTCCACCATGCTTTCCACTCCAAACAGACTTGGTGGCAAATTAACGTTTTACTTCGGTTTATTACAGTCCTCTAAGAATCATTAAAGGCATCTCAGAGAGTCACCACTTTGGCAGAAAGGCCATCAAGAGACAAAAATCAACTTAGAAAAACATTGCCTTTCAAAAGGGACTATGACGCCACTTCGACAGTGATGATTTCGCACTTCCCGGTATCTTGATCTGTGCAGGTGACATGCAGGGACCCATCCCTAGATAAAAGAGAAAGGTGTGTTTAGGACTATCTCAACACAACACTTAGTATGCTACTGCATGTTCCAGAGAGGATAAACAGTAGTCCTCAGGCAGACAAAAGGAAGATTAGCATCAAAAGATCCAGGGAAGAACATGCTTCAACACAGATGAAACTGATGTATGAAATTAAGTTTAGTTTATTGAGTATTTAGATATGCACTTCTTGCTCTCCATTAAAGCATGTATCCTCTCTATGTATGGTGGAACAGATTCAGGAACATGTTTAAATGCTATAACTAAGTTTATTTAGTACAGGTTTGTAAATAGCATATGCAGTAATACTATTCAAAACATTCATCTTGAGAGCTTGAGTAACAGCAACCAACAGATAAGCACGTCAACTTGACTTTTTAATAAAAGTAGCATCTTTAAATACCAAGGGTCTCCTTCTAGGAGGAAAATCTTAAATTTTCAATATCCAAGAATTAGATACAATGTTGAATCCTACTTCACCTAGACATACAACAGCCACATGTAATATTTAGATAGAAAGAGATGTGTTCTAGTGAACTCTCCCTAATCTTTTTCATCTAAATATTACTAAAAACCTCTTTATAATAAAGCAGGTTTTCTGCACTACACAGTTGCATATATAACCTCTAAGATGTTTTTCTTATCAATGCTAAGTGCAAATCTCTCTATGACTAACGAGGTATTTTAGGTGAAGCCTATTAATAAAGCATTAGTACACCTGACAGTTAACATAAGAAAACCAAGTATTGTGAACTCAAAGAGCAAGTAGGGATTTAGTTTTTCAGCAATGTTTAGACAACTTTCATATTATTTAGAAAAGCAATATGAACTTCAGGACAGTCCTCAGAAGACAAACATACTTTGACTACTTAGAATTCCACCTTCTGCTATCTTTATAAACTATTTAGACTGTTTCAAATGAGCCCAAGCACTCCTATTAAGACCTAAGAAAGAAATTTCTTCAATATCATATCATTCCCATTCCCCACCCCACCATAAGATACTTCATGTTTTCCCATAATAAACAGGTAATTCTGTAAAAAGTAGATTTATGAAGCCTGATTTCCTGCGGCATTGTTTCTCATGCTTAACAATCCTGTCTCTGAAAGGTCAGAGCCACAGGTTTCCATCACAAATGCTGCATATGTGAAGTCCTTCATGGATTCCTTAGCAACCAAGACAGACTGCTTCTACTTGAGTTTTTCCTACGAGTGTGGGCGTTCAATGGAACTCCCCAAGCCCTTCCACGGGAAATTTGAGATCCTGATTACTCTCAAGCATGGTTAAACTGATCAACAGTTCAAAAGTTGCTAAAAACCAACTATGCAACTGTGTTAAGTTTTATTTCTTTAGGAATCAAAAAATGAAAGCACAGAATGTACTGCATAAAAACAACATTCCTACAGAATTTACCGCTGCTAGGATATAGCCCTGTAAGCAATGAAATGCTGAAATTCCTCAACACACAATTAAACATTCTGCAACAGGAGAAAAGACTGCTTGTCAGAAGTGTGACATAGCAAGTTAAACAGCAGAACAATAAATATTTTGGGTACCTTTTCATAGTGAGTACAGTTAGTATATCGTGTAGGCCATCCTCCTTTTTATCTAAATCCTGGAGTACAATCTATTTAAAAAAAAGATGTTAAATTATAAAGTTATCTAAATACTTGCACAGCAGTTTAACGGAAGTGACACAATAGCTAAGGCGTGCAATTCATTCTCTTTAGCACCTCAAACTAACAATTCAACACCAAAGCACGTCCTAGTGGACCTCATTCATCTGTAGTGCAAATCCACGTATTTTTAGCTATTTGCACTACTGTTTCAGTGGTTTTGTTTCAGGGTCTACCACTAAGATAGCTGGAGTACCTACAGCTCCCGCAGACTACAGTAAGAGTTGAGCACGTTCCTTTACGGCGGATCGGTTTTGTAATTATTAGGTAACATCCTTTCCCCATCCCCTTAAAGATCGTTGGGCAGGACCAAGGTGGAATAACAATTTTCCCAGTATTCCATCCATTTCAGCCACATCTGCCCCCTCCCTGATGCTTTAAGTGCACTGAAGCCAGGGTAAGCACATTGCTGTTTCAAACAAGCTGCGTTCTCCCCATAGGCTGACTCCCGAGTAATATCTTTATATCGGGTGATGATGTGATTAAATCCTCTTACCACTATGAAAAATCGAATGTGGTATTTAATACCAAGATCCCATCTGATCTAGGAAGATCAAAAAGTAATCAACAATACCTACACTAGCTACATCATTACCACCAGCAGTTTTATTTCTAAAATGTTGGAGAGCTGTGTACTACCGGAGTGACCGGTTATGACCTCTCATCCCAGGTGAGCTTACCACAGCAGTGCAAACATCAAACCCAGCCAGCCATTTAGAAATTCAAAAGGGCAACTTCAATTTCTTAAAGAAGTGCTTCAATACTTGATAACACATTTACAGAAGAACCCTTAAAGACTGTTTCTGAAGAGATGCATGTCATTCTAGTTTTGTAACAAGAAGTTTTGGTAGGGGTGGGATTAGTTCTGGGTTTTAATTATTTTTTTTTTTCAGATCCACTTGATTTCCAAGTGGTTGATATGGAAGTGCCTATGAATGCATATTACTCACCTGTGCAAATTTACCTTCTTCATTCATGGGACTTTTCCCCAATGACTCGTACAGTTCAAGGCACACAGAAGACGTGTTTCCAGGAGCATGCAGGGTGTGCTGCCTTCGAGCTGGTAATGGTGTCCCTGATGGAAATAGCACTGTGAATTTGTCAGCCCCTGACTCGTCTACTCCCTTTAAAAAGAAAAAAAAAAAGTTCATGCCTTTCTCTAAGTACTTTAGTGAGCTGGAAGTGTGACAATAGTGCTCCATGAGAAAAGAAATCCAAGATTTATTCTCTTTGCCACATTTACCACCAGAGTAAGTAAAAAAAAAGATTACATTCCTACAAAGACATGAAAAAGTCCAGCTATTACAACATAGCAAAGACACCATCCATCTCCCCTTAAAATCAAGCAGTTTTCCTGTCAATTTTTTTGTCAATAAACCTAAGTTACCACTTACTGCCGATCTATAGCCAATCTGTAGAGCTAGTAAAACAATACCGTTTCTCTAACATCGATCATGCATAAGGAGTGCTGTATATTCATTGCAGCAGTAAAATTTTCTAAGGTAAATAATTTTAGCCTTACCTTAAGAAGAATATCTTTGGCGGAACACTCAATAAAGAGTGCTTCTTCTTCTAACAAAGGATTCTCTTTCCAAAATTTCCCTAGCAGAATTCCTGCCTCTATGGCTGCACCAATGGGAATAACTTCATCTGGAGGAATTGAGTTCAGTAATTCCACAGTTGGGAAAATGTCTTTGATCAGCTGCTGTAGCTTTGGGATTCGAGCAGACCCACCACACAGAACCACCTGGAAAACATGCCCTAATGATTTCAAGTCTTTATCCTGACAGATGAAACGGAGAGGTCACAACCTGCCATACAGAAATGCAAACTGCCCTGGGATATTTTATCATCTGTAGTCGTTGAAATAAAAATTGATGCCGTCCCTGCTCGACTTCTGTTACTGTTGTATTTGAAATTCACGAAATAGCTTACTAGTTTGAAACAGTACCTTGAAAAAGTTTCTTACAGTAAGCATCAGCTAGATGAAGTAACATTTTAAAAATTGAGGAATTCATCATAAAATAAGGTCAGGTTGGAAGGGACCTCCAGAGGCCACCTAGTCCAACCGCCTGCCCAGAACAGGTCCAGTTCCAACAGGCTGCTCAGGACCTTCGCTCCACAGCTATGGATTCCACAGACTCCGTGGCCCTTGTTTCAGTGTTTGATCATCCTCACACTACAAATTCTTTTCTCAGTATCTACAATTTCCCCACGTTGTAACTTGTGCTGCTTGCCACTCACCCTTCCATGGTGCACCCACAGGAAGGAGCAAGTCGGGTTTTGTCTCCTGCATGCCCTCCTGTCGGGTAACTGCAGGCAGCGCAAAGCCTCCCCTGAGCCTTCTCTCCTTACGGGTGAGCAAACCCAGCCTGCCTGCGGTAGGTCAGTGCTTTTCATCTCCTCTGAAGCCTCAAAATGACGAGGTTGTATCCGGACGCTCCGTCCAAGTGCCAAAGAGGGAAACAAACGCTTTCCTACACCCATGGGCTACACCCTTGCTAGTACAGCCCAACACGCGGCTGGCCGCCTTTGCTGCAGAGGCACGCTGCTACTACGCTTACTGCCCAGCAGAGCCCCCGCGTCTTTTCCTGCAAAGCTGCTTTCTAGCAACTGCTAGCCTGCCCTGCTGCACAGGATTATTCCACCCCAGACTCTATGTTTGCCTTCGTTGATCTTTGTGATCTACTCCACTGGATTAGATGATCACTGTAGGTCCCTTCCAACTGAAATATTCTATTTTATTATATCCATTTCTCTCGCCTTTTTCAACCCCTCTGAATAGCAGCCTTGCCCTACAGTGGTATTGATTGCTCCCCTCATTTTGGTGCTGTCTGCAAACCTGCTAAGAGCACATGCTGCCCCATCATCCATGTTATTAATAAAGATATTAAATAGTAGTAGCCCCAGTATCAAATCCTGAGGGATGTCGTTGACAATCACCCGTCGCTTACTGATCTTGCGCAAGAAAAAAACCCTTAAAACTCTTCTCTTATTACAGTAACTTTGTTGAGATGAACTAGATTTGGAAACAAAGCTAATTCCCACTTTTCTTCATGTAAAACGTAACTTGAGTTGTAAACTAGGTTCATTTATTTTTACATTTGAAGTGCCCGCCCCCCCGCCAAAAAAAAGCATTAAGGCCTGAGCGGACAGCACATTGGGCCACTTAAAAAATACTGACACTAGAAAACAAACAATGGCCTAGGACACTTCACTATCCTACCAGTGAAACTCAGACGTGACACAGCAAACACTAACGGAGAGTCTGAAATAGCATCATTAAAAGCGCCAGCTAACTTTTGCTGCCCGCGTTATGTGCCAGTGCCACCAGCAGTAAATGCAGCACGATCCGCCACACACAAGTGCAGAGGGGTTGAGATGAAGTTACTCTCTTCTATCACAGCAAAAAAAAAAGACATTTGAATGAAACTAGTAATGTTTCCTACTTTACTCACCATGTTTGGCATTAAAACACTATGGTTTGGCATTTAATGTGTTCTTTTTTTGAAGCTAACGAGGAAGAACACAGGCACCAAGTAGACATTAAGTGATTTGTTAAAGTCATAAGACAAAAAAAGTCGAACCTCAGGCTTTTTCAGAAGTGTCAGCAAACCCCATCCCAAGCTCAGTGAAGGCAGAAGGAAGTCTATGTACTAAACTTGAAGAAGGTACTCCTCAGCTCTGCCAGGAGTTACACAAACACACCAACAGAGACAAATCCTCTACCATTTACTCAATATGCGGCAGGAAAAACACATCACTGGCTCTACCTTATACTTAACGTCAGGTAACTGAAATCAAAGCAAAGGCAGGAGTTCTAAAGGCCTTGAGTCTACATACTGTGTTGGATCTGAGCCAAAAATGCTGAAACACATCATGAAGCAATCTCAGTCTGCAAGGAAAACAGGCCCTAGAAATATTCTCCTTGTGGAGTTATAAAGCATATTACAGACAAATTATTTCTATTACCTTATTAATATCATCTGCTGTAAATCCAACTTGCTGCAAGAGCTTTTTAATTGCTTCTACACATTTAGTAAAAAGTGAAGAACAGATAAGTTCAAATCTGGCCCTAGAAGAAAAAAAAAAAAAAAATTAAGAAGTGTCATCTCAACCATTAGAGACAAACACCTGAAATGGAAGAACAGTCATTTTTAGAATATACTTTGGTTCTCTAGCTATCACTGGCACTAAGGGATTTAAAAAAAAAAAGAAATCTTATTTCCCAATTATTAATCTCAAAGAAATGATTTTTTTTGTTGTTGTTGTGAAAATATCTGTGCTATTGATTCCATCATTAACACCTACATGGAATGCACATTCGTTCTTCAGTGTACTCTAGAAGAAAAAACAGTATTGTCTTGACAAAAAAATAGTATTGTTGTCTTGACTTATATGTAAGAAAAAGAAGCAAAAATCCTGGAACTGCTTTATCCTCTTTAAAATGGAGACACAGAGACTCAAATGTGCCTCTTCAGTTTTCAGAGGCAAATCAAGCTGTGCCCTGATTTGCACGCAGGGAGTAGGTACTCAAGCAAATTGAAAGACAAACTTGTGCTTGCTTTGGGCTCTTCAAACCTGAAGAAGAAGTCTTACTCTGTATGAACACAGCAAGCCAAATTCTGCAACACTAGCCCACAGGACTAGCATCCTTATCCAAAACTGAGCCAAACCAGTTACACAGCATTGCTTCTCGCACTTGCAAACGTACTGTGCTTTATTTTACCAGATCCAACTGCTGCAGCAGTGGATGCGCAGTTCTGGAACTGAAAAGTCTATTTCACTTCACTAAAGCTGCTGCTGACTGGAAGAGCAAGCAAAGTTAGCTGAACATCTCAGTAAGAGATCATCCCAAGAGAGGAAAGACTTAGAGTAGGACACAGCAGTATGAACAAAAAGACAGAAAACATCTTTCTACTCCAGCTGTTGAACAGAGGCAACATCAAGACTTCCACTGATGTGTATCATTCTGGAGCTCATTTACATGAAAGAGTCCAAAAGTCTTTTCTTTAAGGAAAAACCAACAACAAAAACAGTAATAGGGGGAAACCCTCTCCCACCTTGAGTAATTACAGTATCTATTCCCTTTTGGTCAACAACCAGACTGCAACGATGGGGTCTGCCTGTCCCTTCTTGCACTTTATTTTCTAACCTTTAGGGCAATATTGTTAGTGTTACTACCCTATCTACTACAGATCGCATCATAACAGAACTGTCAATATGAAACAAAGCTGGAAGCAGGCAAGGTGGACTTCTGTCTTCCGTTTCTAAAATCAATGGCACCAAAAAAAATAATCAAAGCTTACTGAACATCCTAAATACCACCTAGAAATAGTTCAAGCATAGTTTTACATAAAATCAGTAGCTTCAAGACTTGTTTTACCTGGACACGTTACAATCAAAATCCAATCCATCATACAATGAATCTACAAAACAGTTTGCACTTCCCAGGGTTGATAACGAATGCTTTGCAACATCAGCGCTGTTCATTAACTTCATCATGGCTCTAGGATTTCCTCTAATATCATGTTTACAAGACCTACATTTAAAAAAAAAGAGTTATCAGTTTAGAAAGGCAGACACTTGAGTGATAACACTAACTTTCTGAAAGTAAGAACAGGTTAAAGCTGTTGAATCTTCCTTTCTGTAGACATTTTAGTATTATCTACAATGCCACTATTGAAAGATTGCAAAGAATAAAAGTGTGTATTTCAATTTCAACTGAAGCACACTGTAGAGGCACCCTGAACTCAGGGATCAGTGTTTATCATACAGATTTAAGTCTTTCTGAACAGTTTCTCAGCTGAACAAATCCTGTAAGTGACTGCAAGGAACAGCAAGAAAAGGCCTGCGAGTTAACTAATTTTAACGACAGATTAAGAAAAAATAGAACACTGAACACTAGACACATCAACAGAATAGTATGTTTCATCCAAAAAGTCTCCTCCTGTGACAGTATGCAACTGACCACCTCAAGATCTCTAGAGCCAATGGTAATGCCTTTGTTCATTTTTGTCCCTCACAGGACGAGGTGCCATACAGCCTTCAGTGTGATGACCCAAGCCCCGCCACGGTCCTCTGCACCAACAAGAAAAACAAACAAAACCCACACGGGTGAATTCCCTGCCACCCCAAAAGTTCGGGACTCAAAGGATGTAAACAGCCTGTAGTCACGTACATCACTCAAAACAGAGAGCAGTTCATAGCTGAGCCGTTACAGTTCAACTCCAACTTCAGGCAACATCTACCCAAAACCAAGTATTTCAGTCTTCCTCCTTGGCCCCCAACAACTGACTGTTCCTTTCATATCTTTGAGTCGTTTCACTCGCAGACAGTCTGCTAGATCTGACAACCTAATATGATTTTTTTTTTTTTGAAAGCAAGCATCAAATAATGAAGCTCCTGTCCTAACAGGAACATGCTTGGAATTCAAAACCTACCTCTGAAATTCAGAAGCTAAGTGTTGTGCTAGAGCTTCTGTGAAGCAAACTCCACCAATGCTATCGTCTGTGTTTGTAGCAAGCACACGATATATTCCACTGTTTACTTCTATGACTGTGATAGAAAGTGATGTTCCACCAAGTTTATAAACCAACACGTTGCTGCCATGATTAAAAAAAATAGTATTAATAAGTCATCCAGAATTATGTTTACTTTGACACATTTTCTAAAAGATGACCATCATATAATGCATTGCAGGTTTTAATCAGTTTTGTCAAGATAATTTGATTTGGGGTGTTTGTATGTAATGCATCTTAGTACCACTGACTACTTGACAGTCTTCCCTAAAGAAGAAAATAAGTCTATTTCACAGTGAGAGCAGCCAACAGTTTTCCTACAACACAACTGAGAACTGAACACTACATTCAAGATTATAGGCAAGAATTATATGAGAAGGGTAAAAAACTATCCACCAAGAAGAAAAAAAGGCAAGACATCTGTTTGCACTGACAGCAGTCTTTGCTATTTTGAGAATCTTGTGAATTATTTGAATATTCATAAGGGAAACCCAATGCACCTACTGAACCCAGGAACTTGACTTTAGTTCTTCTACCATATGCAAAATGACCCCATCTCCCACAATTAAAAACCAGCTGTGCCAAAATCTGTTTAAGAAGGGATGCATTTTTCTTCAAGCCAATCAGCTCATTAAAGAGCAAGACAGAATCTGGGGACAACTCTTTAAAGACAATTCTAAAAAAAAATAAAAGCCAGAACAAAGGGATCCAAAACACTATGGATTTACAACTTTTAAATTGTTATTGGCTTTATTGAGAGTAAAAAGAACAAGCCTCAAATCATTAATTTTGTATTGACTGCTAAGGCAACACAGCGTTCCCTCATTTAAGATTTCTCAGGATTTAAGTACAGCAGCTTAAATTTAAGAAGTAAAATATTAGGATTTTACCTTTTCCCAGTGGGTGAATCTTGGCCAATTCCATAAGCCAGGAGAGCTGCAGACGGTTCATGAATTAATCTCATAACATTAAATCCAGCAGCTGCAGCTGCTTCCCTGTGATAAGGCATAACAGCATTTCATTTTACTTTAATGATTTCACTGTGGTCACACATGCTATTAAGCTTTGATCTGAACTACGTATGTCACCAACTCAGAACTTGGTTACAGCATGGCATTAACAAAGCAAAGTGACTGGAAAAGAAAGGCATCAAGAAGCTTAGTTGCTACTGTGTTCTGCAGTTAGTTGGATCTGCTGCGTGCTTATTGTCAAAGACGACACTGATGTATCAGTCTACATACCCCACAAAAAACAGCAAAACCCCCCTCAACTACAAGATGAAAAACCCCACCCTCAAACTTGCTAATTTACCTTCAGGTGTGGTATTAAAAGTTCCTGGTACATTATTTCAACAGATATCATGCTAGGAAAATTGCTTTTATTTCTAAATGAAGTTACCACACCTCACTTCTAATATTTTCTTTACGTGTTTTGAAACTTCAGTAACCCTGGGACTGCCCTGCAAGTAATTTCCTCCACTTTGAAGTTATTTTGAAACTCGTATGCCAAAGCAATAGAATGTTCCATCATACATACTGCGAATACCCAGCTCACTAATGTTTTATGACCAACTTTAAGCATGCTTTAAGTATTTCATGACAGTTCAACATGAGGGCTTCTACATACCAGAAAATAGAAATAGATGCTGCCAGTTACACACAGCTTTAAGCCTATTTATGTTTTCATATGGAAGAACTTTTACAGCTACACTTCCAAGGAGAATACTGGTGTGCATTCTGTATCTGCTCTCTGATAAAACAGCCCTCAGTAAAGTCATGTAACGCCATTTGGTTCGGTGAGTATTGTTGTACGTATACTTATTGTTGTATGTAAGGGATGGGAAATTATCGAAGAGGGCTGAGAAACTGTTTGCATTTCAAAGCAGACACTGAAGATCCGCTAGAAGTAACACATCTGAAGTGACATTCTATCCCTGATGATACCAAAATTCCCCTCTCACTTCAGTTGATTCAGAATTTCATTTTGGTTACAACACTGAATTCCATGAAAAGTTTCTCAAATCAGGATTTTTATCTCCTACTTTCACATTTTCCCCAATTGAAATAGCATCCCAATGTCCTGACTGATAGTCGCAAGCTGAAGTCCAGCAGAATTCCCATTGCTGATCTGCCAGCTGGTCCGCTTTAGGCATGTTAAATAACAGAAAAAAATCTTAATCCTCTTACCCAAGGGCATTTTTCTGATTCTCTCCAAAATCAAATGGTACAGTGATAACAACGTCATTTACATCTGAACCCAATGCAGACTGAGCAGCTTCTGTTCATAAACATAGGTAGAACATGTTGATTAAGAGCAAAAAACCCAATATACCACATCTTAAAAACATGAGGACAGCTTAAAAAAACGAAAATATGTTACGATTTTACTTATTATATACCTTTCATTTTACTGAAAATTAGTTTTGCCACATCTTCTGGGTTAATAAATTTATTATCTATTTCATATTGAAGTTTTCCATTCTTCTCAATTATCTGTAAGCAAAACCAACATACCTTTGTTAGATACATAATTTGGTTATTAAGAAAAAGTAATGTTTAATTTGGTTTCTCTTCAAGTAAAAACCATTGGACCGTGTAAGTACTTTCTGCATTAGTTACAAGAGAATAAATGCTTCCAAGATGCTTATCAAAGATCACAAACACACCCCTGTGTTACCCAACAGACACGACAGTGCATTCACATGGACTTAAAGACTCCAGACTTTCTTTTTCTACTAAAAAGTTTTCCTTAGTAGAAAAGCAACGTTTAGAACAAAAGTACTTGTCTGCTTACATTCCCTAAGAAAAAAACTAACCGCTATCTACATAAGCCTGCCAATACGAACAGTCAAAAACCAGAGAAAAACTCATTCCTTCTTTAGCAATGTATTTTCCAGGATAATTTTTCTCTTGTTTTGCAAAAAGCTTTCTAGTAACAAGCACGGTATTATTTAAATTGAATACTGAGATTAAATCAAGCGGTTAAGCATTTTTATCACAAGATACTGTGATACTTCTTGACCTTATAAAAAGAGAAACATTCTATACAGCAGCAAAGGGAGCTCACATAATGAGAGCTGATCACTACAGAACACAAACATGGCATGGCACAAACAATGCCAACAAGAACAGTATAAAATGATACAAGTTATTCTGAGAAGAACAAAAAAAAACTAGATCATACTCACTGAACATTTGCTTTCTGCAATATATTTCTCTGCCTGTGGGTCACCAGAGCTGTCCAGACAAATTCATAATAACAAAATAAATCACATGCTCAAGGATAATTGCACAAGTTCATCTTGCTGATATTCCTTATAGCATCTCTACAACATATGAAGCTATACTTCAACCAAAATTTCTGCTTCCACTCTACGGATACATTTATACAGGAGAAGAAAAACCAACAGTTCTGACTGCTGGTATCTTTCATTCCCCTTCCCCCAAACTCATGATAGAAAAAATACCTACGAGTTAGTCAAAAGGGAAAACAAAAACCAACGCATTGTTTTAACCTGCTATCCCCAATAATCTTTATAAAAAGACTTACAGTGGCAGTTTTGTTGCACTGACTGAAATAACTTGGCATCAATAAGCTGACTATCCTTAATCCTCTACTAACTATGTAAAGTCATGCCTCTGAAAAGCACTGAGAAATACATCATCACTGACATCATCTTGTGACCTCCTTCCAATGAGAGGGCTGTAACGCACAGCTAGGTTATCACTGAAAAGTTTCGTCACATCTCTGATGTTAGACCTAAACCAGCAAGTTTAGTTTTAGGATCACTGTCACTGCCAGCACAAATCATCACAGCTCCACTAACTGAAGAACTGCAACAGGCATTACGTCAACGTGTTTTACGATTGTAATGAAAGGGAATACAAAGTTTCATGCAACTAAAACCACAGTGGATTTTAATCACAGGAATACATCCAGGTAACAGTAAGATGTTTTAGTTAAGAACCTTAAGTATATATCAAAAGCATACATGCAACTTGTTAATAAATTTTACGATTTCATTTCACATACAAATTCAGATACAAAATACTACGCACCTCTTTCCTCCTGGAATGAAATGTAAAATAAGAAGTTCATAATATAATGAATTTTTAAGAACTGACATACTCTCCTGTCAATGCCAGGTTAATTTAACTACTATCACACTAGATTAAAACATCTTCAATATCAGTGCCAAGACTACATTTCACAGACCAGCTTTAACGGGGGAAACTGAGCTTCTCACCTTCCCTTTCACACCTGTTCTCTTACCTTCGCCCAAGGATCTGCTTTACTTTCACTACAGTGTTTGAAATATTTCTTATTCTACTTTGCTTTGCAGCTAAGCCAACAACCTGAATGAAAAATAAAGAGAAAGAGCAGTGAGCGACAGGCGGAGCTCTCCTCCTCTCCAAACCACCGCCGCAGCAGGGAACCCTCACCTCCTCGCTTTCCGAGAAAGCGACCACCGCAGGCGTGACCCTGTCCCCGGCGTCGTTGGCGACCACGTCGGCGCGGCCATCCTGCGGACAGAGGCACCACCCGTGAGCCGCCCCTCAGCACACCCCGCGTCCCCTCAGGGCTCCACTCCCTGCGGGACCCCGCAGCGCCGGGAGGGAACGGGGGTGACCGCGGCCCACCCCCTCCTCCCGGCAAGGACTCCCGATCGGCCACGACGCCGCCGGGCCGCCCCGGACAGCGCGGGCGGGCGGAGCGGCCCCTCAGCCCCGCACCTTATAGACGGCGGCGCAGGCGCAGGTAGCGCCCAGGTGAACACCGATGGCCGCCATCACCTCCCCGCGCTCCACGCGCGCCCGCCACCCCACAATGCACCGCGCCCCGCGGCGGAGCAGCCAATGAGAAAAATCGAGAGAGGGGCGTCATCGCGCATGGCAACGGGGCAGAGTCCGCGCGCCAGGCGCGGGCGGTTTGGCGGTACGCGGCCGCTGAGGGGAGTTCGCCCGGCGGAGCGCCGGGCCTGCGCCGGCTCGGGGCTGTTCAACCCCAAAGACCCAGCCTTTGAGAAAATAGAGACTGAAATGGAGAAACGCGAACGAAGCTACTGCATGCATGTGCTGGGGCGTGTGTGTTTTATGTCACTGGCTTCTCTCGTCGTTTAATTGCAGTCAGTGAAGCACGTGGAGACAGTGAAAATAGTTTTTTTTATCCGAGTGCTGCAGTTACTATCGAAGCAGTCACGCTGAAGCGCTGATTTTGCATAATCTAACCAGGCATGACCAATGTCTGAAAGCAAAGCTCATCCTTGCGTTGCACTTCTATTGGAGAAATCCATCTTGGCATTACCACAGAGAAAAAAAAACAAAGGAAGCGATTTCTAATCAATCCTGGTGGAAATGAGCATCATTCACACAGAATTCATTTCCTCGTAGCTTTAACGTCACTGTTGTGCTGAAGGCTCCTCAGATTTCATGTGGCCCTGTAATGGGCGCAGCAAAGTTCTCTGTGTGCCGTAACGGGGAGCAGGTCACCTCCTGTATGTGGCCTCTCACTGTAGAGATGGCTTCTGTAGGTCTGGGTGCTCATTTGCCTCTCATTTCTGTAGGGAGTCTAAATGCCATGCAGCACCATCTCACTGCATCATTCAGAAGTAAAGATTGTCCTTATCCTTGCTTTATATAAGATATGCTGAAGGGTTAAAGGAATGAATCAAGATCATATGGAGATGAAAGGAGTTATCTGGAGTCACAAAGGCATTTTGTGTCCCAGAACTGATCCTAGGCTTCCTAAGTCACTGGACTATCTTCCTTTCAGCAACCGAGCTTGCTGAAGTCTGACCAAAGGCTGGAGCTCAGATTGCCAGCAGTCCATGCTCGGGAGAGGATCACAGTGTTGATAAAGGTGAAACTTGCACATCTGAAAACAGTACTTTTGAAGTGTGTCCAAATTGTAGCTCCTTTCTGCCTCCTTTTGTAAACAGAGGAATGAGAAGAGAAGAGTAGAGGTGAGCAGGAGAGACCTGTGGGGACTGGAGAAAGGTATTGTAGAAGAAAGCAATGATAGAAGTGCTGCTTTTGCCAAAGGTAAAGATGGAGGGAGTCTGAGAAGAGACAGTGAAGATAGGAGGGTAAAGGAGAACAGAAGCCCCTAGTACAAAAAACATCCGAGAATAATTTTCCTGTGCTTTCCCCCACCTCCTAAGACCAGTTGCACCATTTATGACAATAGACCAGTATGTGTAATCTGTGCCTCAGAAAGTGCTTGTGGCCACACTGCTAACATCTCCTATGCAACTAAGCACATCCACGGCCATTCCCCTGTTGTTGTTATGCCATGGATGTATCAGGATGGACACAGAGAAGTTCTGCTTATCTTAACTAAAGCAGTTAATGCTCTTTCCAGGTGCAAGCAAACCTGCACAGAAGCAGGCAAGAAATGCCTCGGCAGGGGTTTGTGGTGGTCAGTAGTGTTTGTTGAGAAGTGAAAAGCCCTCGTCTCTGTGTGCCCTTCCTATTTCTTCAGGTGGTGTCCTCAGCTAATGAGAAGCTCTGAGGTTGCAACGAGCTTGAGTGAGCTGAGAGATGGGGTGAACAACCCACTTCTAAAGAAAAGCGGAAGAGGCTGCCCTGCCTGTTACAGCAGTTCTGTCAGTAAGTGAAAGCCTTAATATGCTTGTTTTTCAGTAAAGGTGGGGTTGAGGAGGCGAACACTGGTCCAACAGCAGTCTGGTTTCAGGATGGAAGAGAATTTAATCTTTCACACCTCTGAGTCAGAAAGAGGAGAAAAATCCAGCCCCAGTCTGACTGGAGTCCTGCACGTCTCCAGGTACCTACATCAAACAAACAAGCCCACCATGCTCCACCTGCTACAAACTCACCTCCGACTGAGCCAGGTACTCTGCTGAGTTAGTATTATTTCCCAGCTGACAAGACAGTGGCACAAACCTTCACAGCATCAGAGCTGCCCCTTCTCTCCCAGCCTGTGGCACATCTCTCAGCCATCCAAAAACCAGACCAGCCACCGTCAGACCAGCTGTTAGCACAGTACGACGTGAGCTTGCCCAAGCTGCTTCTGTACCGAGAGCTCACAGGCAGCCTGAGAGGCTTGAATGCAAAAAAGGGATCCCCCTGGCACTGTCCGCAGCAGGCTGACTGCAGGAAAGTGACAGAGATTGCGGCAAAAAGGCAGTAACATCTGCCGAGTAATTTAAAGTGGAAGCAAGTGTCTCTATTGAACAACAGACTGTTTTGCGGCTGGTAAATAGTATATACTCTAAAATGTCCCTTGGGGTGAGGAAAGAAGGATGAGAGAACTTCTTTTAATTATCTTGTGTGTGTTCTGACTTAATTCTCAGGAAATTAAGCTCCAAGGAGGCTAGAGATGGCAGCTGCAAGACCGTGGCCTGTGATGGTCTTTGGCCTGGGGATGTGAACAGAGCCAGTGGAGTCGATTCTCCAGAGAGCTGCGGGAGAGCCCTGCTGTGGGGGCCCTGGACAGTGGTCCTCCAGGTGGCACTGCCCCCCGGCTTGGAAAACAGCCTCTTCCCCAAGACAGCGGTGTGAGACTGTACGTTCCTGCTGGAGTGCCACCGTCCTACTGATGGAAAACTTCTGACCCCACCGCTTGCCTTCATAAAAGCATCCATGAGATTTTTTTACCATCGTTATTCATTATTATGGTGTAATAAAATCATTATTCATTGCGTTGCTTATTTTGGGCACAGGAATACATGCTGTGGGGAGGTCTGTCTGTATATCGCCCCCAAACTTGCTGGGTTTCGGTGGAGGCTGTAGGCTATTTCTGGGTTTGCTGTAACACTTGCCAGTCATTTCAAAAGGCACTTGCTAAAGTCGATTCCAGTATCCTCATTGCTTCATAGTCACAGTACCTAAGTGATAGGGAAGAGGCAAGTTCAATTGATGGATCAGATTAATTAAATACTTGTGTTAATTTTCAATAAGCTTAACAGAATGTTTTTATGGGTCGAAGGTCAGGGCTGACTGCTACGGGGTCTTCTCACAGCAGTCTAAAAAAGGGCTACATAGAAAGTTTGGCAGGCAAACCTGTTGAAAAGCTGTTATTAATGCCTGTAGGTGGCATAAATGCAGCGTGTAATTGCAATGCTACAACTCATCTGCAACGTTTTGTCTGTTTGGCAGCTCAGTAGGTTTGCAGTAAAGTTGAAGCCAGATTTATTTTTTTTTACTTACACCAGAGTGCTTCTTAGAGAATATCTGAAGATTTTTTTATGTTTTAGATGACATAAAGCATATTAAACATCTATTTGGTTTTGCTTGTAAGTCAAAAATGTTAGTTTTTCTCTCTTTTCTCAAAAAAGCTTTGAGTGCCTGCAAAATGAACCATCCTTTATTGCACTCCACACCACAAACTTGAGTCGCAAAGTAGAAAAAATCTGTTTTTCTTACAACCTGAAACAACCAAACCTCCAGCCTGTACCTGGGGCATTGCTCAGTGTTCGCCGGATGAGCTGCCAACCCACGCTGAAGTATCCCGAGGGAATCATCCGATGACTCCAGCTGACGCAGTTTGTCTGAAAGCAACGTCGTCCTGAAGATACGAACCTCTTCCAGGCTACTCCGGTACCGTTCTTCTCTGCCACCATTCAGCCAACTGCAGATTATTCTTGACGGCAGTAAGGAGGCACTGAAAGCTAATTAAACACAGCAAATGTGCTTCATAGCTAGAACTGAGGACTAGCACAAGTCACCTTTGACTAGGCTTTGTTGGCTATTATGAAAATCAAATATGTATGATTTTCTTTAGAGAAAGAATAAGCATGTGCCACAGATAATCGCACGTACAGTCAGTGTTATTAAAACAAGAAATACAGAATATTCTCATTGCTGTTTTAAGAATTGCTGTAGACAGTATTAGGCACTATCATCTCGAGGCACATCTATGATGGTCATGGTTGGCTGAACAACTTTATTAGTCTTGTCAAGTCCGAGAACTTTTAAACATACATAACAATGTTTTTTTTTTTCCCCAAGGAAAATAATAGAAAAACCTTCAAATAACTTCTTTTTAAATTTTTGGCCTTTTTCCTCTCCATGTTCCAGTTTTTCCATCTCCTAAATGATGTCAAATTCACTTTGCAGGAATGTTGAAAGCTTTTAATAATAGATGGGAAGTGCGCTGAGATCCTTGGCTGGAAGATGCTTTGTAAATATAAAATGTTGTGGTTAATAATGCAGACCTAAGTTGTGACATGAATTACAAAGGGTGCCATGAGGCAATCCCAGAGCTTTCCAAGCAAGCTCCACAGTAAAATATGCCCGAAATTCACTTTTTGTGCTCTGGGTAGAAAACCTTGTGTTCATTGAGCACTGGCAGGACAAAATGGAGCAGAGTTTAAACTAGCAGTTTAAGAAGAGCCGACTACCAAAATAGGTCACGATCAGCATCAGGTTAGTTAGTGGCAGATGTCTTAATTTTAGGCAAAGAACTGATTTAGGGGTGAGGGTGCCAACGTGAAGCAAGAAGTTCATTCTGTGCACTGTCAGAGATTTACTATGTGACCTTGAGGAAGTCATTTAATTTTACTGTTTCTCGAGTTCTTCATCTGAAAAAAAAAAAAGTAGCATTTTTCCTTCCTCCCAAGGGTGTTATGAGGATAACCACATTAATTAGTTGCCTGCTTAGAGGTGAGTGTAATTGGATGGAGTAGCTAGAACATAGCTCTTCCTTATCTCTGCTGACCAGTCCTGGTCAGTATCATGTCAACTAAATTGATTTTTGCAGAAGGTGATTAAACACAATTAAATGTCCATGTTAAAACCAAAGCTAAGATTAGCTTTATTGAACTGAGATCAAAGTGGTGATAGATTCTGAG